CTGGATCTTTCAAAGGGTAGGGGCCAGGCCTGCTTGGTTAATCTTTTTCTATGCAATGTCAGATTGGCCTCCTCTTCAATTATTCAATTCATTTATGTTACTAAAGACTGAAAACTATTTGGTGTTTATTCTGGGTTGGATTATAAAAATGAAGCTCAGATTGCTGCTATTTTGGCCATTAACAGCTTTTTCAGCTGACTTTCCTGTCCTTTTGCTGTTTGACTTTAAGTGGATTTTCCTGCTTTCGGCGCCAGGCATTTTATCTTGTGTCTTCCATGCTCTAGTGTCAAATTCAGCCATTCCTCCAAGGAGTTAGTGTGGTTGAAACTTTGGGAAATGCCACAAGAAGTAGAAGTACGTACACTAGGGATAAAAAGTGTTAATTACTGATGTAATTACAGATGATTACTATTAATGGTTTATTTTGTTCAATGAGATTTCAAGAACAGTCTGAGGGTTTTTTTTTTGCTTTTGGGTTTTTTTTTTGTTGTTGTTGTTGTTTATTTTGTCAACTCCTTTTAAAAAGAGCCTCAAATCTGTGTGAGCTCTAGAAGTGACAAAGTTAATATTTCTATAGATAATTTTGCCAAATTTGCTTTTAGATTATAATTTCAGTAATTTCTGCACTACATAAAAGTATTAATATGATAAATAAACTGCATATGTAAACTAATTTCCTAAGACTGACTTAACAATGAAATAATTTTATTTACTTTTGGACAGCTAGAACATTAAATCCTAAAAAACTGTGTTGTCTGGAATTTTCAGTTAAGCCTGAACTGAATCTGTATTTCATTAAGTCTAAGCCTGATATATGTTCATTTTATGACAAATAATATTTTATACGCCTCTTCTATCTAGAGATTAACATTTTTATAGATTTGCTTAGAATTTTTGGTATATTGAAATGACATCCATCTACTTCTAACTTTGAAATGGAAAATAAGAAATAAGCTCCTTTAAAACCATAAAATGTCAATGCAAAGGGCGTAGAATTAAATGGAGATTGGTTAGAAGAAAGAGGGAAACCTACTTTCCGACACCTCAGGACAACAGAACTGCCAGGGTCATTTTTGTATCTCATTCTTTAAGTATCTGGCACATGTAAGAAAACTTTACCAAAGTTTGAGCCTGTATCTTATCATTTTAGAAATGGTTTTGCCCCTCACTGTGTTATAATCTAAAATGTGATGATTATCGTTGCAGAAAATTACCTAGAACATAGTTTTCTTCTTTGCCAGGTATATGCCACCAAAAAATTATTTTTTGTGTTTTGTTTTTGTAGTGAGGAGATTTAAAAAAAAACTTATATATGGATGATAAATTTAGAGAATTCTGAATTTATAGAGAGAATGAAATAGAAAACTCTGTCTTTGGCAAGCTTGTAGCAAGTTCTGTCTAGCTCTGTGTTTGCTTTTGTGATTGATGGGTTGCAGATAGAGTACACTTGAAAAATGGTAAGAGTATTATTTGCTTAACTTTAAAATAGGACTAGTAGCTCAGGATTGAGAAAGCATTTAGAATACAGTGGAACTCGGCCCTGATCCTGTCAAAGGATTGTTGGGTACATGTGTATTTCTCCTAGTTTATGCATTAGTGATTTGAGTGGCTAAAGTATGGCAAATGTTGGAAAGGAAATGCTTATTCCATTAACCTTAATTAGATTTGTGATTAAAAGTCGAAATAATGACACTACTTATTTTATTCTTTGTATTCCCGTAAGTTATCATACTTACTCTGGCATTCAGTATGACATTTTCCGTGACAGTTAATTTTGCTTATTATGTATAAATAAGTGCTTAACCATTTAAAGTTAGTGTGTATAATAACTTTGCTTATTTAATTTATACATCTTTACTAGCAACTATGCTTTGTTGAAGAATTATAGCAAATAGCTTTAGATTATTCTATTAGTTTGAGTTTAGCTGTGCCAGTGGTCCTGGGGTCCACCATAATCACGCTAGGCAGTGCTCAGGATGTCACTGAGTGCCAGGGATCAAACCCTGGTTCTGATCTATACCAGGCATGTGCTCCTGCTGGCTGAACTGTCTCTCTTCTCCTCAAGATGTTCTGAGCCTAGCAGGCTTCACCCAGTAGGGGTAGAACAAGTGCCTGATGGCTTCCTGAGTCCTGCCTCCTAACTCTTTGCTTGCTGTCCCAGCTCAGATCTGAGTCCTGACATGACATCTGATGGGTCGGGCTTCTTGGGTCTGGATCAGTATTTTCCTTGGATTCTTTTCACAGATATTTGATGAGAAGAGGTGTCTCATCTGTCGTCAGATCATTTTGGGGAATGCTTTAAAAAGAAAAAATGAACTGGATTGTCTGACACCCAGCCTTTTGTTGCCATCCATTGCTGATGTTAAAAAGTAGGGTGTAGGAGGTAGTGTTTATTTTTGAGTGCGAAATGCTCTTTATTCATGCCACAACTTGAGGGATTTATGCTCCTATGGGCCAGGGAAGACACCTGGGATTGCTCAAGGCTTACTCCTGGCCCTGTGCTCAGGGATCACTCTTGGCAGGGCTCAGAACACTGTATTGGGTGCTGGGGATTGAACCCGGGTTGGCTACATGCAAGGCAAGCACCCTACCTGCTGTATTACCGTTCCCCCTCCATAGCCCAGGGAAAACTGTGTAATGAATTCACTTCACCTTCCTGTGGATGCTGCACACATTTGGTTTCTGTGCTTGCACACTTGGTTGTGACACTGGCCACCAGTTGCACAGAGGGTTGGGATTGTTACACACATGCTCGCAGGGGGCTACACTCTGTTCTGGAGGGCTAAAGGGGCCACAGCCAGCAATGCTCAGGGGTTACTCCTGGCTCTGCACTCAGGTTCTGGTGGTGCTCTGGAAAGCGCATGAGGTAACAGGGATTGAACCTGTGTCAACTGCATGCAAGGCAAACACCTTACCCCCTGTGCTATGTCTCGGTTCCTCCCGAGGGCTGTACTCTTTTGTGCTTGGGAGGATTCCCAGAGCCGAGCCACTGAGATTTCCAGGCTTGTGGGTCAGTGCTGAGGCTCAAACTTGAAGCCCCACTGGCCATAGGCTGGCAAATTAGGCCCTTTTGCCATTGAGCCATCCCTCAGCCGCCCAAAATGCCTCGTAACTATTCCGGCACTCTCTGATTGAAGTATACCGGAATGATGGTATTTGGGAGTTTGTGTGGTTTGCTTTTGCAGTGCTGCTTAAAGTTAGGTCTTGGGACTCTTTAGGATCGGGAATGGCCCAGACTTTTCCCATATTTCTTTGACAACCCTGAAGAAACAAGTTTTAAATAATGTCTCAATTTTTATTGAGTGTGTTTCAATGAATGTGATTATCTTTTTCCCCTAAGTGCAGGATTAATTGTGCATAGAAAAATGTTTAGCTTTAAATATGATGCCTACTGTTGAGCTACAGCAATATTTTTTGTCAGATGCTTTTTGAGGACTGAAGTAATTTATCGTGGTATTTAAAGGGATCAGTAATCCAAAAAAAAATGAAACAAAACAAAAAACAATTAAAAAAAAGCATCTGGAGAGATGGTACGATGGGTGGGATTCTTTCCTTGTATATGGCTGATCCTGGTTCAGTTCCCAGCACCACATGTGTTCCTCCAAGCACTACCAGGAGTGATCCATGAGCACTACTGGGTGTGGCACAAAGACAAATTAAAGGAATCAGTAGTATAGATGGAAATTATGGTTTGCGTTGACTATCAGTTTCTCAGTAGAGGCCTGAGAGATAGTGCAGTTTGTAGGATATTTGCCTTGCTTGATTCACCCGGGTTTGATCTCTGGCACCCCATATTACCCCCTGATCCTGCAGGAGTAATCCTTGAGCACAGAGCCAATTGTTAGTCCTGAGCACTGCCTGTATCTCGCCCGCACGGCAGAGCCTGGCAAGCTCCTCGTGACGTATTCGATATGCCAGACACAGTAACAACAAAGTCTCCAATGGAGACGTTACTGGGCCCGCTCAAGCAAAAGCCAAACTAAAAACCGAAAAAGAACCCCAAAACCAGAAGATAAAATCTCAGCAGATTATGAGTTCAAGACCTGTGTTCTTGTGTTTGATTGTGATCAAAATTTTCAACTGTTTTGAAAAAAAAAAAAAGCAGTTCAGCTTTCAAAAGTGTTACTTTTCCGTTTTAAAATCATTCTGTAGAATCGTCCAGTTTTTATGAAGTTTAAAAGTTGTGCATTTTTATCAGACTAGAGGATTCCTTGCCACTGCCGGGTGTTTAGTCGGATATTTTCAGAGGAAGTAGGTGCCATATTAAGACTGGAAGGCCCTCCACTTTCGAAGGACCGTTCATCCAAGAGAACTCTCTTGAGTAATCGCATGAGCAGAGGAAACTCGGTCCTGAGCTGAGCCCGCTGGAGAGGCTGTTCCTCCCTTCCATCACATTCCTTTAGCCCAGCTTCTCTCGGCTGGGTGACGTAAAAGCGGGGTGACTCTGCATCTTCCCAACCAAGCATGCTGAGAGAAACGCCCGGCGAGGATCTAAATCACCTGGAGGAAACCCATGACGGGAGAGTGGACAAGCCCCCTCCACCTCGGGTCATTTCGTTTTGTGTTGTTAGCCAGAGAGGGAGAGATGTCAGGAGCTAGACGCTAAGCCAGCATTTCTTGCCGAGACCCTTGGCTGCTGAGCCAAGTTGGCAGCCAAGGGCAGAGCCGCCCCTGCCCCGTTTTGCCTCCCGGCGGGCGGGCGGCGGGCGGCGGCCGCACTGCCTGCAGCTGGAGCCTAAAGCCAGCAGCTAATTGCGGCCACGTGGACCGGCTCCCTAAAGAAAGGTGAGGCCGTCCTTCAGGGCACTTAGCCGAAACGTGGCAGCCTGGACTCCGCTGGCTGGCTCATCTGCATTCAGCAGCCTTTCCACTATAGTTGTGCGTCACTGCGAGACTGCATGGTAATGAAGCCAAGGCGCTGTGGGCCAAAACTCTGCTGCCGGCGAAGGGACAGCGGCTGGGAGGGAGCGAGGTCCGCACGCCCGCCGCCGCCGCCGCCGCCGCCGCTCCTGCAGCCGCTTGGGACGCAATGTTGAGCCTCCAGGATTCCGTGTTTTTTGAAATTAGCATCAAGTCCTTGTTAAAGTCCTGGAGCAGCAGCTGTAAGTATGTTCGCCTCCCGGGCGGGAGGAATGTGCAGGTTTTCTCCTGGCCGGTCCTTGCAGACGGAGCTGCCTTTGGAGCTGGGCGAACCGAATCCAGGCGGCCGGGAGTGACCACAGAAGAGTCTTGGCTGGAGCGGGACGATGGGGGGAGAGGGACAGGCACGGAGGCAACAGTGATTCGCATCAGCCCCTTTTTAAATGCGCTTGGGCCAAAAAGGACCAGCCTTGGGTTTTCTTGTTCATCGGTGTCATTCTGGCAAAGTTGCTCTCATTGGGTCCAAAACGGGAGGAAAGGCTAGCAAGTAGACTCGGGTCTCTGCAGGGTTATCGGATTCCAGTACTATTCCATAGTTCTCCTAGCACAGAATGTTTGTTTGAAGCAGCACCAGCTATTCTGAGGCGCCCAGTGTTTCAATCTAGTGATCATAAATTTCCCCTGTTTCTGTCATTGAAGTTGCCATCAGTGATTTTCGTTTGTAGTGAATTTTCTTACACAGAACACCCAGATGATGTGCTTCTGCTTCAGAGTTTGGTTAAGTTAATGAGACAGATGTCATCGAGCTACTATTTTAATTCCCTTTCTAATTTGTGACTTTGGCAGAAATAATAATTTGGCTCAGGATTTCCAGTTATTCCATGGCACTTTCCCCTGAAGAGCTACAAATACTTAATTATATATTGCTATCATTTGTGTTTATTTTGTTTCGTTTTGACAAAAAATTATACTAACAGTAATACTAAACTAATGGAGTTAGCCAGCAAAGTTTCTCTTTTCATGTCTGTTTTGCCCAGAGAGAATTGAAGTATTAAAAAAAAAGAGTATGACTTTTCCAAGGTCGTACAGTGGCAAAAAACTAGGATTAGAACCCAGTTGTTCTTACTTGCAACTGTGCTGTCTATATCAGAGTGAACTAATGAATAAAATATGAATGACTGGATTAATCTTTTCCCCAGTTGCTCCCTATATTTGTATTTATTAATATCATTTTGTTTTGTGAGCTGATCATATAAAAGATGTTGAGACAGGGAAAACATCTTAAGGTAAAGCTTTTTAGAATATAGTTTGAGGAGATTTGTGTTGTCCCAAACATACTGCATTTACAATCTCTATATTTCTTTTATTTCTGATCTGTAAGTAATTCCTCCATATGCAGAGATTGTTGTGCCAGATGGCAGAAAATTATCTCAGTTCTAGGAAAGTTTTGAAGTGAGTATACATAAATAAAATATTGGGAGAATTATAATTAGTGACTTGTTTAAATACTGCTTAAGTGTTACAGAATATTTTTTTTTTCTAAAATGAACTGTGGTTTAAATATATCTGTCATTCTCAGCTCTCCATTCTCCTCCCACGCATCCTTACCAAGGACTTTTTAAACAAAACTGTTAAGACAATTTTATAGTAAGCAGGAAATTATAATGAATGGGTTGTTAGAGAGGGTTCACATACTAGTTTGTCACTGTAGTTTGTCACTGTAAAAACTTACTTTGTTAGTTACTTGTGAATTACATAGTAAGTTTGGTGACCATTTAACCATTTCTATAGTCATTGCCCTAACCCTATTACCAGTGACAGTCAGATCTTCTGTAATCATATTCCCCGAGTCCACAACTGAACCCAAAACAGATGTTGACAGGCCTTTGTTGTTAGATGTCAGGAATTCAGTGGCTGTTTCTGGGCCCCCATTTGCCTTGGCACCCAGATTCTATAGATACTGGAAGGTGTTTTTCTATGTTCAAGAGGGGCCCAAGATTGTGTCTACTCTGAGGCTGCAAAGTAGGATAATATGCATGTTTTTCATCAGCACCTTGTGGGTTTTTTTCAGAAAGATCTTGGTTTAGTCTTATTTATGAGAGAGTGAGCGTTTGCAAAAGTGATAGAGAAAGAGGGAGGGGGAGAAATATATGTATTTTATTTTATTTCATTTTATTTTTGTGGCAACACCTGGATGTACTCAGGGCTTACTTTAGGCTCTGTGCTTAGGGATCATTTCTGGCAGGGCATAAGGGCCAGAGGGGGTGCTGGGGATCAAACCCAGGTCAGCCACGTGCAAAGCATGTGCCTTACCTACTATACTATCTGGCCTCAATACATGTATTTTTAAACCTTAGAAGGATAGCAGTCATCTCTTTGCCTAGGGATATTTACATAATCCTCCACACGTGAGTCACATAACACTTACAGTGCTTATACTGTGCTGTTGCAAACACATGCTAATAAGTTAGAAAGAGTTGAGAAAGACACGGGCAGATTGAACAGAAAGGAAGTCATGTGAGAGTTGTTTTGGGGTGACTTAACCAGATATACCCTTTTATACACAAAAAGAACAGGGGGTATAGAGATGGGAGAATTGGTCTTTAATCACAGGGAAGCAGAGAAGAAAATTGAGTTGTTTATTATAATTTTTATTGCTTTATCATTGATTTACAATTCTATAGCACTTCAGAGGTGTGACTTGATACCTTTCTGTATTCCAGTGCCACATCCTCAACCCATTCCTCACCACCCCTTCTCCCTTCCATAAACATCACAGCTATCACTGTATGCTTGATTTAGCACATTCAGGATGCTAGGATGTTCCCCTCTGGTGGTTGGCAGTTCTGCCCTCCACCGCCACCCCTCCCCCCCACACACACACACATCTAGCTGATTGTGATGGAGACCCAGATGTGAGCCAGCTCACCTCTCACCCACCTTCGCTTTTTGTTACTTCCCAGGACTTACCATTCTGCCCTCTGAGAGTTCCCTCCTCTCCCCTGCCCCTGGATTGCCTTCTTCCAGACCACTTTCTTCGTGATCTCTTGGATTATTGCCACTTTGCTTTTTGTCATGTTTGTATCTTCTCCATGTTCTAAAGCCTCCCTCTGCAGGGCTCTCCCTCCTTCAGGACACTTCCTTCTTGGGCAGGGCAGGGGGCGGTAGCCTTGCATCCTGAGTCTCTGCTCAGTTTGTCAGTGACCTTTCTAGGTGGGACTCACTGGGTTCCTAGTCCGTGCTCTGCCTTTGTGGCTCTTTTTGCCTGGATTGCACTCTTATCTCTGGTCTCTCTCTTAATCTGTTTTTTGTCTGGGTCATTATGCATTCTTTTGCCTCTTAGAAGACTTATACTCCTTGTGTTAGCGGGGTCCATATATATTTACTTGTTCTGTTCTTGGCTTTCAGCACCCATTTATCATCCTCCTCTCCCTCCCCGCTTTTCTCTGCCAAACTTGAGTATAAGCTGCTGGAGGACACAGATGACTTTTTTTTCCGTCCCTCTCTTTGTGCTTAATGTTTAGTTCTGCAAACGTGCAGTTAACTGAGATACAATTTCAGAAGCATTCATTTTTGTCGGAAAGAAAGTTGGAGGATAAATATGGTCCCCGATTCTATGCAATTATTATTATCTCTCAGGGAACATTTCCTGAAGCAGAAATGCATAAAATGATACCTCTGTGATTAATTTTTCTCTAAATTCTATTCAGCAAATTTCTAGGGAAGAATGGAAAAAAGTCTGATATATGAATCACCTTTGTTAAGAAAGGGAAAACAGTGTTTCGATGGAATATTTCAAATGTTGCCCCCTACCTTTCCAAAGGACAAGAGGAAAACAAAACTGTGATCTTTGCCATTGGTAATAATGAAATAGCAGTGTTGATTATAATTGTTATTACAAAGGAAAAGTTATAATGGTGCTTTAGGATTATAAGCCATGGTTCCCATGATCTGTAGTGATGTGAAATGCTCCCTTTTCTATTAATCACTTGAGGCCCTCTAGTTTCAAGGTCTGCTTAGCTGGCAGAATGTGGATGCAATACTGCTGAAGTTTGATTATAGCCGAGCTTATTTTTCAGCAACAACAATAAAGTGACATTCATCTGGCCTAAATTCAGGAGTTTGTTCGTGTGCCAATGATTTTAGGCATTATTTCTTAAAAAAACAGAATCAGGAACATTCTGTTAAACCAGCTGTGTAGTGACGATGTTATCATTGAAAAAGATTGGCTTAGTTTCCTAAAATTGGTAAGACAAGGCATAATTCAATACTGAGTTCCTTCCAGTTATGACTGCAATGTTAATTAAGGTCACGGATGCATTTCTATCCATCTGAAACCTTCTTAGAGACATATTAATTTATAGATATTATTTCGCATGCATTATCATAAGGCAGCTAGTGTTTCAAAAACTCCAGTTCTTGTCATTGACATAGAACAGATAAACTGGCTTATGTTACCCTCAGTTTTATGAATTAAGATGTGAATAAGACACATTATCTTAAGAAATGAAATTTGTTTTGAATTTTGCCTAAAGAAAGTTCATAAATTGTTTTTAGTGCTCAGATGTTTTCCTAGAAATGCTGTTTTCTACAAAATATAATAAGGAGGCTAAGGATATGCCTTAAGTGGGTTCAGTTCTTAGTTCTGCCACGTGGTCTCAATAATAATAATTAAAAAAAACAAATAAATAAATCATCCAGGGCAAGCCCTCCCTCCCCCAAGCTCAGCTCCCATTCTTCTAAATTTCAGGAAAAACATGATAAAAGGTATTAAAAATACATGGGGCTGTTTTGATGGTAAGTACATGTGAGCATGTATATGGCATATACATGTATATACATGTATCAGATGTCAGACAGTTACAATTACAAAAACCCGAGAAAAGCTGTCATTGCTATATTCTGAAACCACCTTATTATAATATAATTCACACACTATAAAAAGTGCAGTCATTTTCATAGGTTCAGAGCTGTATAATCATTACCACACTCTAATTGTAAATTTATACAGCACCCCAAAATGTAACCTCATATTCTGTTAAATTGATTTTTTGTCACAACAAATTCGCCAGTTTTGGTCATTTCATATAAATAGAGTTCTATTTATTACCCATTTTTTGGTGACAGTCTTCTTTCACTTATTATATAGCTAAGGCTCACCCATTTGTAATAGGTATCAGTACTGTTTTGGATGAATATAGATGCCACATTTTGTCTGTTAGTTTTTGTTTTTATAGTAACT